CAATATGTCTGTAGACTCTCTATGTAGATTTTGTACACATTGATCTTTCCGATGCTATACCCATCTTTTTGTCGTTTCTTCGAATTAAACTCTTGAAGTATCTCTGATACTCCCGCTGGTTCCAGTGTTGTGCCCGCTTTGGGATATCAACATTTTTCAGAGTAGCTCGTGGGTAGCCTTAGAATATTTTATCGAATACAACCTTACACAGCTCCACGTCACAGACAACTTACTTACCAATGTAACCAGCCGGTGTCTGTACTTTAATGATGAGAATGTATCTGGGTTGTCCTGGTTCATATGTTGCACTACTTTTGCCAATGCTGGTTGGACCAACTTCCGTTGCCAGTACGAAGGATCATTACCCGTCCCCGTTCTTAGCGACCTGCGCCTTTCAACACACTTTGACGTCGAGATCCAGAATTACATATTGACTTTGTCTGTGGACTATATTCATGCGCCGTTACAAAGTTCTTCGGACCCTGCCTGATCACCAAAAGTAGCCATACCAATATTGGTACGTCGGACTTTGCTGGATAGCGTTAGAGGGCTGTGCTCTGGTCAAGTCTTTGTAAGGGGAAATAGCCTTCGGACTTTTCTTACCAGAAGGTATCAAGGCTTGAATGTTAGTGGGTGCCTATGTTACACCTACTGCGTGCCTCTGTTGTTGACTTTTTCTGCCGTAGGGGAGTTTGGAGGTTCGGTGCACCGAGGCCTTCATTTTAGCGATGTTGAGGTCAAAGTTTTCGTTTTGTACTGTGTCTGGCATCTAACATACCTAAAACCGTAATGAAAGCAGCCATTGAATGAAGTTGAACGCTCGACGCTAAATCTATTCCGGTTTCGCTTTCGATTCGCATTCCCAAAGAAGCAAATGTTTTGGCAAATTTTCAAGTTTAAAAGATCAGCGCTTTGGTTTTCATTGTTAACCTCTCGCATTGTTATCAAAGCAATACTCCCTTGAAAATAGTATTAGAGAATCCATTCTATGGTTCCGCCGCCAAATGCCAATTAGTTTGTTGAACTGCTGCGCTGAGAGAGTGGCGGCGGTGATGATGGCCAAACGCTTGAGCTACATACAGACATGAATACTACTTACCATATGTATGTATGTATGTATGTACATTAGAGTGGTCCAAAAAATTTTTTTTCTCGAGATAGGGTTTGGGGGCACCTGGGGCAAAATTTGTCCTCTTGTCGAAAGAGTTGCTGGATACCAAACTATATGTTTCTAAGTATAAATTTAGGAGCTGCTCATGATGCTAATATTTTACTCTAGAAGTATAGTGTACATATTTTTATCAAATAATTGGTTAAGCAACCTAAAGACATTTCAAATTTAAACTATCTATAAAAATATCACAAGCTTCACTTATCATAGCAACAGTAGCCTTTTATAAGAATCGCCAATATTTTTGCCTGTTTCACAGCGATCCAGTAGCGCATTTCAGGGTCACTGAGCACCCTATATTGGTTACAGTAAAAAATTGAAAGTTGGTATAGATATTTCAAATATCAAAAGGAAAAAAACCGTTTTATAGAATGGCATTTTCTTGCTCCATACAAAAATTGGACCACTCTAATGTGCATGTGTTCTTGCTCAGTTTTTGCAGTTGCTATTCAAGTCTATTTAGTTGTTTTCAGAAATTTCAAACAAAAAAACACGCACTGTCGACAAATTCCTCTGCGCTGTCGACGCACCTGCTAAAAATAAGCGCAAACGCCAAATGGCTTTACTTTGGCAATGTTGATCCAAAAACGTGGTGGTGCATTCTTGCCGCATCTATGGATGGCGCGCGCCACACGATGATCATACGCGCCTTCGCTAATCTCATTTCTGCAATGCATTTGCATTTGTTGGCGACAATCATGAGCGAGCGCTGCATTTGTATGTATGTATGTATGTATGTATGTAGCGGTAGCGTGTTTGCAATTCTAATGCTTGGGCGCCTTAAAATAGACAAATATTTTTCTAAATTTATTTGCTTGCTTTTGTCAACCCAAAACAGCAACGGAATATGAGTGTCATCAGCTTAATGCAGTTAATGCCAACGCCTCTGTCGCCGCCACCCTATTGCTTGCTGCTGCAACAGAATTCAACATTTTCGGACCACAATTATTCATAGGTGGCGCCGACACACGATTGAGAGAATACAAAGGTTGCGCCGATCTCGGACCGCTATTCCTCTCTTAACGAATTTGACAGAATCGTTGTTTGCATGACGTCACACTGGTGCAACATGTTTACGTTTTCCTTGCAACATTTTTTCTTCTTCTTCCATTCTTGCTCACGTTTTGGCATTTCTCTCTCGCAATTGCACCAGTGTGACGTCACTCAAAAGTTATTCTCAAAAATCCTCTCTGATCGGCGCAATCTTGTATTCTATCATTCTTGGCGCCGACACCAATATTGGGAACACCATAGCGTTGACATCGCGACGACAGTGACGTGAAATGACGTTGTAGTTTTAAAAATGAATATTTCTACGAGATAATTGAAGAATTTCACAAATATTTGTATGAGTATATATGTATGTATAGATATGTATATAGTATATATACCCTGCAAACCATGTTTTCAGAGTACTCTGAATAGTAGAAAAATCTTAAACAATTCGTAAAGATCTTATCCGATTTTTTGCGGAATTTTCTAAAATGAAACAAACTGTGCACACTTCGATGCCTTTACGAAATTTCGAAGGCAGTGCTGCGATGTGAAGAATTTTTTTTTTCATAATTTTCTTTAAGAAATTGTACAGAAATTTCGTTATGAGTTCGTGTCAAACATTTCAGATGATTTTCTTTGTAGAATCGTAAAAAAATCGTTACAGAATTAGGACACTCCTAAAGATTTCGTTACGATTTCGGGAACTTTGGTTTGCAGGGTATATACATACATACATATATACATATATGTATATGTATGTACATTAGGGTGCGCCTTAGTTTTCAACTTTGACCCAAAAAGCAAGATAGGTTCATTTGGTCATACAAATTTTTAAAATTTTCAAAATCGGATAATGGAAAGACGTGCCTTAACAGCCCTAAAGTTATGCAAAACTGGCCTTATAACCTCCAAACCTGACGAGATATGAAAGCTCAGTGGGTAGACTACTGGCTTTGTAGGCTTGGGTCGCTGTATCAAATCCCAGCTATAACTTCTACGTTTGTGTAAATAATTGTTGTTTTTCCTCACCATTTTTTTCATATCTAGTCCTAGCCATGCCCATTTTCCGTCTCAATCTCCTCAAAGCAGAAGAAGGAAATAGGGTACCATGTATAATAATTACGTACAGGTGTTTGAACCATGCGCAGTATGCAAATATAAAGCAGTTCTACAAGTCGCTCCCCATAAAAAATCGGTACTGTTTTTCCATCGGAAAAATATTAAGATTTACGTGATCTGGACCGATTTCAAAATAACTCCAAACATTTACAGCCAAATTCATACAAAATTACGAAAACTTTAACTGTTTTATAAATCGAAAATTTTTATAAAAATGTCACTTTATAGAGCTCTATAAATCTACTTTATTTTTTATGAATAAGGCCATTAGTTTTTTGTAAATAAAATTTGTTTTTTTTTAATTCTTTCCCAAAAAATTAACTCAGATGATTTGTAAAAAAAATGTATCAACGGAAAAAATAACGAGATATTTAAAGGTATCTTCAAACCGGTCCAACTCACATAAATTTAATATTTTTACGAAATATTTTTTTCTCGAAAGTCTAACACCCAATTACATAAAAATTAAAGAAGACTTTAACGCTTTATAAATCGAAAATTTTTATCAACACGTCCATTTATAGCGCTCTTTAAATCTATTTTATTTTTTTATGAATAAGGCCATAAAAAAATATAACAAATGCATGCATTCATATTGATGTCCAATTGAGGGCATGCAAGTTATTTTGCAATCTTATCCGTATTAAAATGTTTTATTATATAATTAATTAGCCCGGCACACATGCTTCGATTCGCTATGCTGTTAGGTACATAGTATGTACATACATATGTATGCATGTATGTATTAATATACATATCTATGTATGTGTGTATTCAGTTTTCCTCGCATATTTGTGCTAAATACTTTTCTGCAATTTTTGTCTTGTTTTCGAATGTAATTTTTTTTCAAAAATTGGTAGCGACCCCAATTTTTTTTCGTATCCTAAAATTTAAAACAATTAAATTTAACAAATACAAAAATTACTTGTAGCTACATATGTATAAGCCAAATTTAAAAAAAATTACATTGATTAAAAATACTTTCAGCGGAACTTGCGAAATTATTGTGAACAAGCCAGAATTTTAAGTAAATAAGACTCAAAAACAAGTTGGAATTCGCTGACTTAAATATTCACACCAAAAATTTAAACAGTAAATACATATGTATTTTCAATATTTATTTTAAGTAAATTAAAAAATAATTCTGGATTTCCACTAAGCATTAAATAGCAAAAATGACAAATGACAAAGTCGGGCATTAAAAAATAATCGTGTCATTGCATTAAAAAAAAAGTCATTAAGACATTTTTTTAAATGGCATACATTTTTTGTCATTTCAATGCCTAGTGGAAATTCGGCATAAATTTGAAACCCAAAAATGTGCATACATATTTATTTGTATGAGTAATTTGTGTATAATTCTATTATAAATTTTCAAATTTTAAATTTGATTTGGTATAATTTTCATAAAAGCACGTTTAGTACATACAATAAGTGAGTGATGAAACAAACATTTACAGCCAGTCATAGATGTTTGTGTGTTGCTTTTGCTTCGCTTATAGAAAACTTAAGTAATTACATATCGCACATTTGCTTCAAGAGTGTCACAATCCAAACAATTAAAATCTCGACAAGTACAGCTTTAAAGTTTTGAATACATATTTTCTTCTAGTGAGCTACTGGCAATAGGTACAGCTATGAATATTTTAACACATCATAAGGCCAGGTAGCGGTCTGCGTACTTATCTAAAGTTTTTTTACTTTATTTTATTTATTTTTTTTGATTATGGCACTATTGCAGCAAATGTGCGATATGTAGTTGCAAGTGAGTGTAAAAAAAGTATCATTGCTAAGCTGTTCTCATAAATATTATAAGTGAAAATTCATTTAACATGCATTACAATGCCTCATATAAAAAATCAGGGACTAACTAAATTTAATTCTGAAACATTCTACATACATACATACATACATACATATGTACATATGTATATACATAGCAGTACAATATATTCAAAAATTGCTTCCGGAGCATAAAGTTCGTAAAAGTTCTATTAGTAAATATCTATTATCTTCAAATATGTTAATATCTTATTCGTGATTTTTGCCGCTTTGCAGATTTTACAAGAATAAGTTTGAAATGTATTTATGTACATTCATATGTCACCATTTAATGATTTCAGTTAATTATTCTACACATTAGACTAATATATTCTTTAATTTCACGTAAATTGCCTACATTTAGCCATGTACGCATGTATAAATTATATAACAATGAAGTATATGCAAGCAGTTCATGTGCACATATCGATGTATGTATACCCAGATATACACGCAAGTAAAATATATAAAGTTTAATAATTACATAGTACATATTTGCGTACACATGCAATTATTTGCACATCTGCATAATATTTAATAGAAACCGAATTCATGTCAGTACATACGGGCATACACACATACAAATTATGTATGGTAAATAAAGTTATTTAACAATCCATCGTTATTTGCAAGTATCTAATGCAATATTTCTAAACATAAAAATAGTTTACATAAACAAGTGGTAACATTGTTTTTATTTTTCTAATTAACATTGCTATTGTTGTGAATAACATATTAAAAAATAATAACAAATTTCTATGTAAATCTACTATTGGTTTTGCAACAATAACAAAGACATGCGTAAAGCTGCGAAAATAACCCATTATTATTATATTAGTTACATGTTCCAAACCCAATTTTATTAGTTATAACAAAAGGTATAATTTCATTTCGTGTAATTCAATAAATACGTAAGTAACTAAGCATCAGTATATATCATATGCGTTAAACGATTCTCAATATAAACCTTAAAAAAAAATTGCTTCATTTTTTTATTGGTGCAACAAATCCATTTATAAGGTATGTCTAATTCAATTAGATTGTGGCTTGGCAAAGAAAGCTAAAGTTTGTCCGATCTATAGTGAAATCTTAATTTTAATTTACATACTATTAGCAAACGATATACAAAAGCGTGCAAGATGCTGTTGCTGTGCAACGTAAAGAAACAACATATGTAGGTAAATGACTTTTCAACAATTAGATATCCAACAACCGATTAACTGCATTCTTGTTTTTGTGTTCTAAAATGCGATTACTTAAATTACTATACAGGACCATACAGCTTTTAATCCCACCACTTTGTTACAGGAACTTGCGATAATTCCTTAAGTCCACCTGCTCGTCACTCAAACCAACTCCTGTCAAATCGCCCAATACACCAACAGCCGCAGCAGCGCTCTCAAAAGATGGCGGTTCACTATTCAAACCTGGACTGGGTGGATCACAGACATTTGCATTTTTCCCTTTTGTTCGACGACGTCCCCGCGTGCCTCCTGTGCCACGCGGTCGCCGACCAGTACTAGTCGTACCTGATGTCGGTGTTGCCGTTAGTTCACTTGTTAAGCCTCTGCTGTTACCATCATTCGTATCCACAGTCGAATGCGATATATCAGTGGTAGCAGCTGTGGACGAGCTCGCCGATTTTCGACCGCGCTGACCGCCGGTACGTCGTCGTCCACCACCGCCACCACCTCCCTCGCTGGCCGTAGTTGATTCACGTTTATTTGGACGACGCTTTCGTCGCTTTTTGGTGCCATAGCGCGGATCATAGTCTAATTCATCATCGCCAGGTGATTTGGGATCTTCCAAGGCATCTAGTTCATTCATTTCAATGTCATCATAGAACCATTCTTTCGACATGTCGTCCTTGACTGGTAGGGGTGGCTGTTGTTGCTGCTGCACTATTAATTGCTGACTGTCTTTACTGTCAGATGTGTCGCCGCCAGCAGCGCCCAAGGATAGCGATTCATCGAGCAGCGTCCCATTCAAATCGGAATCAAACATCGACCCAATGCTAGAGCCGATTAAAGGAGATGCTGTGCCAGCGTTTCCAGTGACCACGCTCGATTCTTGTTCTTTACGCAAAGATTGAAATGGCCGATCAGGGAAACTGCAAGGGAATGTTAAATAAATACTTCGGGTTCACTAAATACATATTTTAAAAACAACTGCCTACACACATAAAGAAACATTTTTCTTACCGGTACATTTTATTTAGATACTGGCGCCGGCTTTTACGCCACCGTGTTGACGGATATGTGTAGATCTGTCCTTGCCGGAACCCCGGCATTCGTTGCCGTTTGTCCATGAAGAGATGCGAGTGATTTTGAGCAACTCGTGTTTGAGGATCGAAAAAAGGTAATCGTAGCCGGCGTTCCAAGCATAAACGTGTATTGAAGTTAGCACTGAATTCAATCGTCTCGCGATAAGAAACATCTTTGAAAAAATTTTCAATTTTATCCAAGTTTGGTGCCGAAACAATTTGTATATCCACAGCTGAAGTCATGTTTGCAAAACTGGCAATATATCACCTAATAGCCTCCACCCGTAATATAATGAATAATTCTTAGATAAAACGCTTGTATCTTCCAAAAGCCATGCAAATTGCTGCAGGCAGCAGCAACTGTTGCTGTATGAGGTGGCTGTTGCTCTGCCGTCACAGTTCAAAATTATGTTCTTATCTCGATTTGCGAATTCCTGCTTTGCTTTCAAAATTTTTTATAAATTCAAGTAAATGTTTAATAGGCGACCTGTTAATTTTTGCACGGCACCGGTACCTTCATGTGCATACTATAAAATACAATTTCTATGAATACATAACTATAGATTTTTCTAATCTAATTTCGTAAAAAAGTTAATTTTTTTTAGTTCTTCTCCGCCACTCCTTTCACCACTTCGTTTTAATAATCCTTCCGTTTCTTTCTGTCAACTTTCTCTATTTCCGTTTTGGCATGACATTTCTATATTCTCTGCAAGTGATGTACACTTTGGATATCGATAAATATCGATTACATATTTCATTTTTTAGAATTCAAAATATCGGTATATGCAGTACTTCTATTCGCCGTATTTGAAAAAATACTTTAAAAATAACAGTGTGGAACAAAAATTAATTTGTAAAAAACTAGCGAGCGCATATATCAGGTTTGATAGCTGTTGTCCATACGAACAATGGGCCGTATGAATAAAAATAAGTAGTTGCTTTTTCTTCAAATTTCAGACCTTTTACTCAATTTATTCAAATAAAATTGAAGTAAAAGGTATGAAATTTCAAGCAAAAGCAATTTCTTGGTTTTTATTCATACGGCCCAATGGCTCATACTCAGTTTTACTAGATCAATTCGTGTTCTCGAGAAAAAGTTTCATAATCCAAAAATCTGAGTTACGTTTGCAATAAGCGCTGTTCTATGCTAAGATCTGGGTCTAGGCACACAACAGCTTTCTGAAGGCCATAGGTAAGGTAAGGTTGAAATGTTTGGAGAGTACTTCCCACGTTTCGGAGCGATTTTGTTAATATTTTTTGGTATTATACCTTTCGTTTTCCACAGCAACCGCCAATAATTTGCTAAGACGAAGAAGTACACAAGGCATGTTGCCGGGTACAGGCGACTTGTTACTCTCTGCTTTCCTCGTCGCTCACCCTCTTTTCAGATATAAATTCGTCTTGTCTTGGTCTTTCGGTTACGAAGACCCGACTGTCGGGGCTTGGTTGGTAAAGTCCGATCACCCAAATGCTTTTTCATAAACTAGCTTAGCATACATATGTAGTAACTGTAAGATTAGAAAGCCTTGAAAGTCCAATTAGCTATGTGCTGTTTTTAATATAAACTAAAACAATTTTCATTTTTTTATTAAAACAAAACTTTTTTATTTTGCCTTACATGGGAAATCATAAAATATATCGTTTCCTCGTCATAATAATAATATTAATGTCCGTACAATATTTTTGATGCATATATTAATAATTATGTAGTATTTATTTAATATAACTATATCTGCAAGTAACTAATTTATATATATATATATATATGTGTGTATATATATATTATCTAGATTTCCTCATTATTATATGCAATAGTTCACTTGCTCCATACTAATTACGATTTTATACCCCACTGCTCTTAAATGTTACGCAATATTTCGCTCTATATATTTTTAAGTACATTAGCGCTTTTTCTTAGCTGATCAAGCTTAAAATAAGTTAAAATCATAATAAAATAATAGTTGAAACAAGCGCAACGGCCAGTAATCTATTAGATGAAAAGATATTAATAATATGGAACTCAAAAAGTTATATATTTAAATACATAATGTTCAGAGTTGTAAAACTAAGCCAGATTAGTAGATATATTTAAAAACAAAAAGTACAAATAAGCAGAGTTTTTTAGCTTTAGTTTTACACTATTTTCAATCAAAAGAACTTCAATCGTAGGCAAAAACTAGCGCATAGGTTTTTTAAAAAAACTTGTATCATAAAACATTTTGTAAAATTTCAAGAGTAAAATTAACTACAGCATAAGCTGTATGTTTTTTTTTTTTGCCAAATAACAATTAATATTCACAAAATATAACACAAAATAACGAGCTTTCTCATTATCAACATTATTTATTTTACTACACCACACTGAAATTTTGCCAATCAATCAACATTTTGAAAGAGAAGTGAGCACAAAACATGTCACGAGTTACTAGCAAGAGTGTGTTCATATAGTCAATGCCAGCAGCATGTTAGTTCTTCTGAACTGNATGCATGTGTATACATATCTGTGTGTTTGTTGCAGAGTACGCAATGACATACATATGTATATCATTTAGGCTGTGTTTATTGTTTACTTCGTTAATGTATATTACAAAATATATATTTATAAAGAATATATAATTTGTGTAATTTACGAAGAACACATGTATGTAAGTATACTTGTATGAAAGGAGAGAACAAGGAGACCGAAGGAGGGAACAAAGGGAGGGATATAGTTGTATGTTTTTCCATTTTCAGTTTCGATCTTTTTGTGTTTTTTGTTTTCTTTTTTTTTTTTTGTTGCTTAGACGCTCTATTAACATGTTTTTTTATGCTTATACTGCAAATTTAATTTTTCTTAGATTTTGAATCAATCCTATTCGGGTACGATCTCAGGAAATCCGGTAACTTCCGTTTGCTCCGCTACGGGTTGTCCATTGACAACATATGATATGCGTAACCTCATGCGAAGGGTAGCCTAAGAAGTTACGAAACAAATTTTTCAATAATGATCTCTAACTGGAAATGTGATAGATTATTTTGTGATTTATACGCACATTGGACGAACTGACAACACGCATCTCTTGCGTTATAACACCACCCGGCAGTAATACCGATCCAGAAGGCGATAGCATTTGTAGTGTGAATACTCTAGGAACTGCGGCCTGTGAAATTAGAAAGAATGTCGAAAATTAGAGAGGTTATTTACGAAATGTAGATTGCATAGTATGTATTGTAATGCATTAGCAGTAGAACTTAATACATATTCTTCATGTGTATACGAGGGCAGGTTGATAATTGTGGGGCAAAACCAAAAATTTTCGGGAAAATTTTACTTTATTTTTCGACAAGCCTCAGAACTTCGGATATTTTTTCGGCTTCATTTATTTATTTTGTTTTAAGCGCTTAAGCATTTTTTATTGCGTTTTTCTCGAAACGACTTTTTTCACACTGGTGTACACGATATCTCCAAATCCACTGAGCGGATCTTTATAGCACTGTTTAAAGCGCTTCATGAAAATCTATGTCAATTTCTTCAAACCACGGTTAATTTTGCAAAAAAAAAATTAAACAAGTCGTTTTTAAGCAAAAAACACAACCGACTTTTCAATTCTCATATTAAAAAATTTAGGAAAATCGTTAATTTTTTCATGATCAAAGGATCGGATCTAAAGCAAATTAATATGGGACAACCTGTGAGACACTACCTATCCGAAAGAAGTATCAAAATCAGTTAACGTGTTCCAAAGTTATGCGGCATCATATAAAAAAAAAATATAAAAAATATTCCGACGAATTGATAACCTTTTCCTTTTTTGGAAGTCGGTTAAAAAGGGGCGTATTCTTGTTTTCATACGAATCGAAAATTGTGAAATTTTCGAATTATGTATTTTGTAACCAAAAATTTAAAATTTTCGGTTCGAACGAAAACAAGAACACGATCATTATTTTTTTTTTTCCTGAAATTATTCTTAATTAATGAAGTTTTACCGATATTTTTAGCGAAATTTCTGCTTTATTTATTTATTTTTAACGGCTCACCTGAAAGACGTACTGTTCCAATGTATTGACTGAATTATTTGTTGTTCTCATAAATATCTGTAAACAGTCGTTGCCTCTTACCGGTACCAATTGTACCAGCAAGTCGTTCTTATCCAACGCTGTCAAAGTGGGACCTTGAGGCTATAGAAATGAAGATAAAAAAAAAACAACAACAGTTATTTGTCAAAATGAGGTCTAAAAATTATGCATCGACTATATTTACCACAGCAATATTATTTGGTGGCTGGAACATTCACAACTGGTGACGCTAAATCGGAGAGCAATGCATTGCCGGGGATAGCGCCTGGCTGAGATAAAATACTATTCGAGCCTAACAGGCCGCCGACACCGATGCCACCCCCACCACCGACATTGCCGCTTAGTGAGCATTATACTCGCCAGATCGTTGCCATTTGTCGCCGCTGTCGTTGGTATTGATGCCGACACACCAACACTCAAGTCCAGGCCAAGCACATTATTCATATTAGCTGCCGCATTGGTGGTACCACCAGCTGAGATGTCCAAATCGAGCAAGTCAAGTATGGCTTGATTGTTAGACGTTTCGTTAGCATTTTTAGTGTTTTTCTTTTGAACGGCAACCGAGTTTGACAAATCTGTCGCTGTGGGGGAAGTCAAATCGGCACCACCAAGTAAGTCCAGCAATATATTCTAAGACAGATAAATTTAAATAAGCGAATTTTTTTAATTAAGATGGCGTAGTCTTCTGGTTTGGCAAGTGTTGACCTACCGTATTGTCACCCATCGTATTCATGTTGTTTTCTTTGCCCAGCTGTTGTTCATCGCCAATGCCTATGCCGTTTTCAATTAAATCGGGACTGTTGTCATCATACGAACCACTACTCTCGCCATTTTGCGAAGAGATGCGACTTATTTGCATTGGTGGCATTTTTTCCAACAACGGTGGACGCAAATTCTTGTAGGTGCCAAATAGTTGCGTGAACTCAACGCCACGCTGCTGCAAATCCACATTCAGATGACTGCCGAATGAGGTAATCAATGCCTGAATTTCTCTAAAGTAGTGATCAATTAATTAGAAGATGATATCATTGTAAAAGCCAATTAGTTTCTTATTACTTACTCTACACAATTCTGTAGACGCGTGCTGAGTTTAGCGAGTGACACTAAGGCGTATTGCTTGCTGATTATTGATACTTGAGCAGAGGTTAAATACTTATGATACATGATGATTAAATCGCTTTCTGACGGACGTTCAAATTCTGTTAAATGTTGCACAAGAGTAGCGCAGTTAATGATAATATATGTATACTTGATATTAATATTAATTTCATTACGCACCATCTTCGTTTGGTCCGTACATAAAGAGATCACCATATTCGCCAATGGCCCACACAGCCACTTGCAGCAGCGGCTGCTTGTCTTCACAATGATTTGCGACCTGAAGCGACTCCCAGAAGCGATTCGTTATGTATGTCTGCTCTGCGACAGGGCTGCTCGAGACCAATTGAATGGTGGATGAGACCACATCGTCGCGCACATAGTTGCCAGCCTGTTGCATAACAAAGATTGCATTATTGCAGTCAAATTATAAAATTTTAAAGCTTCATCTACTAACCGCAACCAATACACTCAGCTGTGTATCCAGATGCCATCTCGCATTGGGCGAGTAACGTTCAGCAGCCAAAATCATTCCCGAACTACATTGCGCTTTGAATTCGGGATCAGCCTTCTCGAGGAACAGCAACAACTCCTTCGTCATTGTACGAATATTTTGTGCATTGATTAGCGCAAACGAGAGTTCCATGGCGCGACGCCTTATCGAAACATCCGGATCTTTTAGGCACTCCAAAATAGTGGTGCGATGACGTTGCACCGCCGACGTGTCTGCATGTACAGTACGCAGCAACGTATTCAATGCCACATAACGAATATTCTTGTCGGAGTTAAGTAGAAAACGACCAAGAATATTGACGGCTAACACGCGGAGGCCACCTTCCGAGCTTTAGAAAATGTTTCGAGGAAATTTTATTTTGATTCATTAGTTAATGACGATAAATTAAACATACCGTATATCCATTATAGAGAGCACAGTCTCGTACAGAATGGTGTTGCCGACATTTTTACTTGTTTCCGTATTGGTGGCTACCTGCGCCAAAATATCATTCATTGCCTCTGAGGCATCCACATCATTGTGACCGAGTATGCGCAACAAACGTAGAATTTTCACCTGCAGAAACGGATCACTCACACCACTGACATCATGCTCCGGGGAGTAGCCGCCCAAAATTAGATTCTTCAGAATACGCACCAAATTTGGCACAATCTAAATGGAATGAGATATATATGATGCATTGGAAATATGTGGACTTAATACAAAAAACGTTATTTTT